GAGTGACAAGCACAATCAACTTGCCGGAGCAAGAGGATACGGTAAGACAAGAAGAGCAGCACAGTGAGAGTACTCAGTAGAGGGGCACCTAGCAGTGGAACAAAAAAAAAAAAAAAGGACACACACAAGGAAAGAGTAAAAAAAAAAAAAAAACCAGAAAAGAGTGCCTTACACTAGTGCATAGTGCGATTAGCGTCGATTTTTGGCGCGAATCTTGGCCTATTCCGCCCTAGTATTCATGACTTTATGCACCAACCCACAAAAGATATGGAAAACAAGCACAACAAATGAGCGAATCACCAGCTTAGATGAGACTCCACTCAGCTCAAGAGAAAATCCGTTCCTAGCGTCGCCGTTTAGAGCCATTCGCAAATCATGCCCAGTGTTAGAGAGAGTGGAAACTCGAGTGAGCCGTCTAGAAGGTTGCCCGAAAAGCCCAATCGGACGCAATTGAGGCGACGCTAAACACCAGAGCGCTGGGACGATGGGACGGGGGGGCAACCGTCCCTCGCCACTGCTGACTGCAATGCGTGGTGACTGGTGATTGATGATGTCCGAGGCAAGAGAGAAGTCCCGCCAGGAACTGATGTATCAGAATTCAGCAAGGGATTCATTTCAACCTTGTGGTGGTGGCTATCCGGCAGCTGTGCAGCCACTACTGCAGCGAGATCATGATTGGCAACGCGGGCCCCGCGTGTTGAAGACATTCCAACCTTACTCATGCATTCATAGTTCGTCCTTCGCCCCATTCATTATCCATCCCTGGCGGGAGGTCGTTGCCTGGGCGGCGGCAGTGGGATTGACATATGGGGGACGCACTCGTAAGCTGTATGCACAGTTGTGCAACTTGTAGCATGCTTACACATACGTGAATATATGCACTGTACGGAGTACTATTACACTCTCTTTCTCCAAAGTTTCATCTGCACTGCATCGTCAAACAGGTCCATATGCAAAGCCAAGGGACGCCGAGTCGGCTCCCGCCACCGACGTTGCATGCCCCTGGTGGATGATGGATGTGTCCAGACGGGGGAATGGATCGATCCCTCGGTCAGCCTCTCTCTATCTCTCCACTGCACCCCACGGAGGCCACAGATGCAAGTGCAGACATGCATCAGCCGTACATCATTAATCTTCTCTGTTTGGTCTTCATCGCCAACTCCGTAGGCGCGTATGATGCATCCTCTCTCTCATCTCTGTCTTCCAGTCCCACTTCCTGCTCCTCACCCGATGCCAATCATTTGGTTGCTCTCCGTACTGCACTGCTAGGCGAACTCGGAAGTATGTCTCATTCTCGCAGTGATCAACAACAAACCCCCGCCATGGCATGATGTTGTATTCGTTGTGTAGATCTCGCGTACAGGTTCCGTCCTCGAATTCTGTGAAGTATCGTGTATCACATTACATGAGAGAATTGTTTGCATCACCGACAAGGACAAAGATCGTTCAATACATGTATGAGTAGGTATATCGTCAATAATCTGTCTACTCCGTACCTCCTCGACCAATACTCGAATTCTCCGATCGATGACGATGGAGGTACATTAGGCTATGGGGCTATTTCTGCTAGGGAGTCGGCGGAGTACAGGGAACTAGTTAAGTACCCCGCATCTTGCATAACGCCATTTTGACTTCATTGATCGGCTACCGAGAAAAGCTTCCAAGAACCTTGCGGTTTTAGGGGAGGAGTGAGAGAAGAGTATGAGTGAATTTTCCTGGCAGTGTAGTGGCTCGTATCCAGACAACGAAAGAGGGATTAGATGGGTGGGTACATCGAGATATAAATATGTACATATCAATCGGGTTTAACATTGGCGCAGGAGGCTTACTCCGCATAATATGGAGAAAATATAGATTCTGCCCACAGATCGGTAGGATGCCGGGGAAATGATAATAATAACATGGGCTTGTTCAAAATTCAAAACCATCTGCCGCACGCTAACTGGGATCAAGCGATGGAGCGATTACGGTACTACCACCAGCGACATCATTCGTCTCTCAATGTTGATGATGCTGGGATGGACTGGGCCATAGACGACTCAATTGATTTAGCCTATGGCTGCTGCCGTGATCGGAATGGCATGGAATTAAGAAAGTCAAACACCAACTACACGTACTCATAGTTTGTCTTGCTGTAACAATACCTCAGCTCTTGGTTTAGCATCATGAAAAGACTGCGTCTTATCCGCATCTACCAGATGAGTGCATCGTGATGTTTGGCGTGGGTTACACTGACCTCAACCCTTCGCGGCAAGGCCCTAAGGACGCTGCCTCTTGCGTCTAGTTCTCAAACAGTTATGAGATCTCGCACTGAGTGATACAGCAATTGGATGAAAGTGAGGAAGTAGTAGTAGTTTACAACTCAATCTACTTGGGAAACGTTATAGTGCCCGAGTTAGTCCCGAGCTACAACATATATAGAACCCCAGCCTTGACACTGGCATTAGAATCCAAATACAAGAAGACCAACTCTCCAATGTGCACGGTCGAGACCGAGTATGATGATAGATGCCATCTTGCCCTTTCTAGATCTCCAATCTCCAATACTGAGTCACGAGTAAATGATGCATCTCGAAGGGACGGGGAAAGGAGCCGCGGGCGGGCCGCCAACCCGCCAACCTGCCAACCCGCAAGATCCGCGCTTCTTCCCTCGAAGCCTCCGGCGGAACGACTTCAATACCGCTCCTCCCACTCGCCATGTCGGAATCATCCGGGGATCAGCTCAAGCGCAAACGTGCCCGGGTCGCGTGCGAGCCATGTCGGCAGCGAAAAAGGAAATGCAATGGGACGACCCCCTGCGCAACCTGCACCGACTGGGGTTATAACTGCCACTATACAGATCAGACGCCGCGGAAACGTCGTCTATCGCAGCCATCTCCCGCTGCGACGGCAGCGAAGCCATCCCCCCCCGCAGCAGCAGCAGCAGCAGTAGCAGCAGCAGCAGGGGTGGGAGCAGACTCCCTTCGCTCGCCCGATGAGGCCGTCACTCAATCCAGTCACCACCAAGGCATAGCCCGCAGTCTCGAAGCGAATTCCGCCGCCGCGTTTGTCCGCAAGATGGGCCTCAAGGTTGATCCCGCGCAGGCGCCGAAACTGGCCCTGTTCGGATGGAACATCGGCGCACGGCAATTACCGTCAGGAACGGGGGAGATCTCCGCGCGACCCATCGTCGATGTCATTTCGGTGGCCGACATGAAGCAGCTGGCCGAGGTCTACTTCACCAAGATCGATCCCTGCTACGGCTTCATCGACCGGCGCGTCTTCGACGACCGCCTCGACACCCGATGGCAGACCCCGCTGTCCAGCAGCTCTATCTACGACAGCGTCCTCGCGGGAGTCGCGGCGCTGGGCTCGCTCTTCTCCCAACGGAGCATGACCATCACGGAGCTTCACCTCGTCGAATCCGCCCGGTCGATCCTGGACGGCCACGACGGATCCGGGCCCCCATCCCTCGACCTGGTGACGGGCTGGGCGCTGCGCGTGGTCTACATGCGCATGACGGCGGCGCCGCACGCCACCTGGATCGCCAGTTCGACGCTGATGCACCTCATAGAGGCGGCGGGTCTGCACCTCGAACCTTCCGCCACCACTCCGCACGACACCGTCCCGTTGCGGCCGCCGGCGGCCACGCAGCCGCACGACCGGGAGATCAGCCGGCGGCTCGTGGGCGTCGCGCACCACCTCAACATCTGGACCTCGTTCGACCTCGGGCTATCGCGCGTGTCCTTCCGCACGGGACTGCCGCTGCCGGCCTCGCCCACGAACCCCGGCGACTACACGCCCGAGGTGCTCGACCTGCTCCCGGCCTCCGCATGCCTCGACCCGGAGAACTCGCAAACGGACGGCGACCTCGAGCCGACCCTCACCCGAGTCCTGCAGGGCACGCACACGCAACCCCCCTCCGTGATGGCCCAGACCAACCTCGTCCTCTGCATCCTGCGCCGGCTCCGCATCCTGAACCTCTCCATCACCCCGCAGGTCACGGACCAGGTCCTTGTCCTCTTCGGCCGGGCCCTGTCGTACGCGCGCGCCATGGTCACGGACGGCAGCCCGTGGCACCAGGTCGCCAACGTGCCGATGCAGATCCTCTATGTCCTGCTGGAGATGGACACGCGCGCGTCGCTGGCGATGCTGCCCGCGGCGATGCAGACGGTGACGCTGGTGGCCACCACGTACGATACCGCCACAATGCGCGAGGCGTACAGCACCGCGCGCCTGCTGGTGTCGCTGTATCAGCAGCGTCGCTCGGAGGACACGAGGGTGCTGGCCCAGGTGCTGAACCTGGCTCCCGGAGGAGGCGCACAGGCCGGGGACACCGGGACCGAGCCACTCAGCCCGAGGGTCGACGAGCTGTTCTGGTTGGAGGGCTTGGTCGCGGAGATGCCGAGTCTACAGGGCCTTGAACTCGAGCCATGGCTCCAAGGAGACGTACTTGCCGGGGGAGAGGGATGGGAATAACACAGATTAAACTCGGCCGCAGAATGAGAACAGTGAAGGCACGACAACAGCAGCAGCAGCACACCTAGTAGGTGAATTGCCCTTCGCCAGAGTACCAGTAACACATCCATCGAAACACCAAGCAACGGTGTCTACACCTCATGGAGATGATGTCTCTCTGCTTCTCTTCTGCTGCTGCTGCTACACCTCCTCCACCTCCACCTTTCCTTCTCCTACATCGACACGACAATTCCCGGCGACTGGTTACGCCCAAAGAAAAAGCTTCACTCCTTCAGTCCTATATCTACAGTTTCGTCGGCTGGTCCGGTAAGAACCCCAGTCAAGCGACCCCGCCTAAAACATACTATTCGAGCAGGTAGCTGACCAGAGCAGATAGTCTAATAATCTAATCTCGCCTGAAGCATTGCGCGTGGGCCTCTCCCCGCAGAGTCGAGTACGATCTAGTTTTTGTCCGGCAGGTAGGTTTGCCCACAATCCGGAAACTAGTCGGAATATAGACTTATGGATTGTCTCTATAATTAGTCAAGCTTCACCCGGACAGAATGTCGGCTCGCTCGGGAATGGAAGGGTTTTGCAAAGTGTGCCTCCACGCAAACAACGAACACTACACTGCGCCCTGCCCTGCGACTGGCTGCCTGAACAGATGGAAGGAATGCACCGCCAGCAACTGCTTCAGGGAGCGCCCCAAGAGTTCTAAGAGCGCTAAGTGATTTAAAGGAGCTAAGGGCTCTAAGGCCTCTAAGGATCCTAATCCTCTACCATACAGGGTGTGCTTTGGATGCAAGGATCACCCGGCGTGCAGGGAGAATCTCGATTTCAGCGGCGACCAGATCGATGTCCCGGAGAAGCAGAATGAGGACTACGCCGCAACTGGAAATGCGGGGGGTCAAGATGACAAAGGAGACTGGACTCGCTGATTTCATTCTTTGATTTTCTGCAGAGATTGCAAATGTACATTTGAACATACCCGCATGTTGCGGCCATAGCGCTGGTTTCATCCCGTCCATATACTGAGCTCGGTCATTTTACATCACCATGAATCAAGCTTCTACTAGCCATCGTGCTCTACCGTATCTCTCCATTTCAAGATTCTCCCCAGATCAAGCTCCTTGTGTTGAGGCTCAGAAACTGGAAAGTCACCGTTGTTCCAGGGGTCTTTGACCCAAGGATGTATCTGCATACGACGAATGGCATCAACGTCACCCGACCCATCATCAAGCCATATAGCACCCTCATGATGTCTCTGCCAACAGAAGAGTCTTCGTGTGCCATTGCCCGATTGCGCTTCAGCCAAATCTCTTAGAGGATGGGGCAACCTGAATTGTCAGCACATACCAAAAGTTGAGCGTTGTCATAGGCTTACTCGTCAGAATTTCCTGCACAACAAAAGTAGTTGATAGTATGAACCTCGGAACTTTCAAAGTGATGCTTGCTGCTCGCAGGGATCTTTTGCTCAGACTCTAGTATCCAGTATATTTGCCAAGAACGAGGTCTATGCATGTGTGGCAGATGCTCCCTCGCTTTGAGGCTTAGATTTGTGACTGGAGTTGAGCCAAATGGGGGTGCTGGGGACCATGGCCATGGCAGAGAACTAGTATCGGATAGGCAGAAGTGGGATGTCTGAAATTCATCCACCCGAGTGCTCAAATGGTCTTTGGAGGAGGCCGAACGGTAGTTAATCTGAAGGAACGATTGATATGTATTTGTCCAGTATGCGGCAGGCAGACAAAGAATCGGTATCCCGCTAAGCGACCACCTCAGCAAAGGCATCGCCTGGTTGGTGTAGATTGCTGCTGCCCAAAAAAGACTCAGATATGGTTTCACATATATGATCGCGTTGAGGAGCTGCTGTTTGTCAATCTTGTCAATAAAAGGGCGTAAGTCATCACATGCCTTGTGCTCTGAGTGCAGCTGCCGCTTGCTCATCGTATCGGCTGGCGAAAGAGCTTCAATTATGCCTAAGAACGCGGCCCCTACGAGATTGCAGGGCACGCTAGGGTCGAAGAACACACTGCAAGTCAGTGAGTCGATAGCCTCTCCTGTTGTGCTGAGAAACATGCATTGATCGATTGATCGGAACAGCTTGTAATAGATCGTGTTTTTGCAAACTCGGCCTGGACACACAGGAATGGCTGGGATCATCACAGGAGGAGGGAATTTGGGCTTAGATATCGTCCATGGTTCTAGATTTAGGATCGAAGTAAGACCAATGAGTAACTCTCCTTCGAGACCTTCGAGTTTGCAAAGTTCGACAAGGGCACCATAAGCAAGGGCCGAATCTGAAGCGACCGATTCCCATTCATCTCTAGCAAGCAAGTTAGCGGGCAGATATCGAGAACAGCTCAGGCAATAGACATACTCGGGGTTTGTGATGTCAGACAATCTCAGCATCCACGGAGAGTAAACTTGTTCTTCCTCGTCTTCGGGGTCCTTGCATCGAGCTTCCCAATGACCCTGCAAAACAATGTCCCAGAAAGAGTTTTCAAGCTGCAAGCCTTTTGCATGAAACATCTGGCACTCCAACCCAGCTTGCTGTAGAATCTCGACCCAGCGGGCAGAAAAGATATAAGACCAGGCTAGGGCGATGCTCGTGAAATAACTGGCACGAAGAGGACTCGCAGAAGCGGGGATTGCAACTTCTGTTGGCATCTCTGTAGCAGTACGGTATGTGACAGGCCATGGCTTTGCGATGAAGTGACGATACTTGAGGGATATACGAGGTTGATCGCAGGAGGGATCCTCCGTCGACTCGATGCTCATCTCAGATTCGATGAGACAGTCGCCCACATTTCTCACCACCTCTTCCGGAGCAGAATGAAAAAATGGAGGAACATCCTTGAGCAGGTCTAAGAAGGATTGTATGTAGAATTCCAACGAATCAGAGCCCGGGATATGCGCAGTGGCCGCATGTTTCCACTGAGTAAATTTGGATCGATAACACAGATTAAACTGCGATGTTGTTGGACAAACTCCATCACCAGGAGAAATGCCAGGGCTATTGTGCGAAGACCTTAAGGAATCTACACTTTTGTGAGTGGCCTGGGTCCGAACTCCATTGTCAGCGGTCGGTAGCTGCTTGGAGACGTGCTGTGAATCGACGCCAATACTGAGGGGTGATGGTGGGCTGCTGTGAGATAGCTCTGATGTTTTATCACTTTCGTGAGATGCGTGGGTTGAGAGTTCATTCTCCATGACTGATGCCAAGTTGAGGATGTGTTGCGGAGGGTAGAAACTAAGTTTCAGGTTGAAGAGAGTAAACAAAGTAGAATCAGTTTCAGAGGCGATGAAGAAAGCAGTTTGTTGAGGAAGACAAGTGCTGGCTCCAGATCGCTGGTGTCTCTGGTGCTGAGAAACTCGCTAGAGCCTCTCTAGCTTTTCTGAGGGAAGTGAGGAAATGTAAAGATATGGATGGGACTGAGGTTGGTGGCTGCTTCTTGATCGGGGACTCGACGCGACGGGCATGGGATGTCAGGTGATCAGAACATGTTGATACAATTCAAGTTCTTTTGACTACTTCGAGGCATTTCAGTGTCTGTCACATGGTATGGTCTCTTCAACTTGAACTAAACACTTGGTATTTTATGAGGTCCCATCACCACTAGAAGCCGCGGACTCATCCCGACCAACTATTCATGTCCATCCGCCGGCCAGATCTGGCCATTGTTGGTCTTTACCACACTGAATTTCCCAGCCTTACGATCCGCAATTGTCACCTCTTTGGGCTTGATAAACAATGGTTCGACGGTATCATGGTACTCATCGAGGTACGGTCTTTTCATCGCCACCTGCTCCCATATCAGCCGAAGAGAACCAAGCCGAGGAGAACTATCTGTATGAAAGAAACAGAAGCCATACATTCACCACCCATTCCTTTGATGCGTTCCTAGAAAAACACTTATTAGAAACAGCTGACGATCGAAGGATAGACAACTAGGACGAGATCACCAATTCTTGAGCACTAAAATCTCCCCCTTGTTTTCCTGCGACTGATACACTTCGAAGAGCGTGCATTCGGGCTCGCGGGCAATCTTGTAAAAGACAGCCCCGAGGGCTTCGAAGTATTTCGCAACGTCCTTCTCCGCCACCCAGATGCGCACCTGCAGCGACACAAGGTTGGTAGACTCCGACATGGTGACAGCTTGCGACTATCGGCGTTGAGAGATAGCTTCAGAGCAGTCTTCGTCCGGTCTCGAACGACGGAATTATGAGGAGTTTATATAATACCTCGACACCCTGATCTGAGTCTTGCACCTAGTAAGTGTAACCCCCCATAGTCGAGGTTACACCTTCTCAGCATTGGGCCGCTCGACTTGAGCATTGGGTCGTCTTTCCACGATGTTGTGTTGCTTCTGAGTACTCACTATGCACGCATCCTAGATGCCAACCAACTAATCTTGACTGAGAGTCCCACAGTGCAGCTCAAAGAAGGGACTCAACTGTGGACTGTAGGGGCTCCACTGCATTTAAATGTGGCACAGAGCACACCTTGTGGGTGGAGCCTATAGGGGAAGCACTTTACTCTGTCACCAAGATTGTCATCTGAGCTACGATCGATCGGTCACCCGACAGGTTCGAGAACAATGCATGAAATGGATCTTCCAACAGCTCGTTGTAGACAGCACACTTGCATCCATGAAGATGTCAGTGCTATCTGCTGTGCCCTCAAATCCGACAAAAGAGACTGCCAAGCTATACTAGTTAGACAGCTTTGTTCGGACCCTTTTCCGAGCGCACCTTTGGGACTACTCAGAAGAAAACTGGTATTGTGATGAGTTTTACCAGACCAGAGAGATGTGACTGAACCATCACAAACCAAGCCAGGGCACGGATTTTGCAGAGCATACATCCAAGCTTGATGAAGTAGAAGCGTTCCTGTTCCTGGCAATCACATGCGTTCAACTATGAAAAGTGACACCCAAGGTTAAATCCGAAAGAGGCTAGACCGTTCCCCGCAGCAACCGAAGCTTCTCTCCCCCCACCAAACTCACACGCCGCCCGCCGGCCCGGTCTCGTCGCCGGTGAGTAACAGCATCACCACCCCCTCACCATCACCACCACTACCCTACATCACAATCTCTCCCTTCCTCTCTTCCCTCCGAAGCTTCCCAGATACCCTACCCAGACCTCCCACCCAAACAACCAACTCAACCACAATGCCCTCCCTCAGAGAAAGCACCATCGCCTTCATCGGCGGCGGCAACATGGCCTCGGCGATCATCAAGGGCCTGGTCGCGCAGAACATCGAGAAGCAGAAGATCATCGTCGCCGAACCGTGGGAGGTCAACCGGTCAAAGATGGACGCCATCGGCGTGCGCACCACGACCGACAACGTCGCCGCCGGCGGGGACGCCGACATCGTGATCATCGCCGTCAAGCCGCAGATCACCAAGACCGTGTGCCAGGAGCTGGCCGGCTCGTGGGCGCAGCGCTCGGCCCTCCCCATCGTCGTCAGCATCGCCGCCGGCATCACCATGAAGAGCCTGCGCGAGTGGGTGCAGACGAGCGACGGCCGCGCCGCGCACATCGTGCGCGTCATGCCCAACACCCCCGCGCTGGTGAACGAGGGCGCCTCCGGTCTGGTCGCCAGTGAGGACGTCACGGCGCAGGAGAAGGAGGTCATCAACGAGCTGCTGGGCAGCGTGAGCAAGGCGACGGAGTGGGTGGATCGCGAGGAGCTGTTGGACGTTGTCACCGGGTTGTCTGGTATGATTTCCTCCCCCACAATCTTTCCTCCTGAACTCGATGAAAGGGACCCATATAGACATGGGGTTCAACCGCGCGAGGATAGGAATCTTCTAGCTAACCAGCATGATATACAGGATCCGGTCCCGCCTATTTCTTCGCCATGGTCGAGCATCTGGTGGCCAGCGCCACGGCGCTGGGTCTGTCCAAGGAACAGGCGACTCGGCTGGCGGCGCAGACGTGCCTGGGCGCCGGCAAGATGCTGGTGGAGTCGGACGAGGAGCCCGCGCAGCTGCGCAAGAACGTCACCAGCCCCAACGGCACGACGCACGCGGCCCTGCAGACCTTCGAGGCGCTGAACTTCAAGGACATCGTCGACAAGGCCGTGCAGTCCGCTACGTCCCGGGCGGAGGAGTTGGGCAAGACTCTCGGTTAAATTCGATTGTCGTTAAGTACAAAAATGTCATAGAGTTTTCATAATTCAAACTTTCTTCCAATCCAGCCACAAACTCTTCTCTGGAGAATCATAGTGCTTGGACATCGGCATCGTTTTGTCACCATGGAACAAAGGAGCCTTCAAATTAACACAGACTCTGGAGACCCACTACCGCTCCCGGTTGAAGCTGCTTTATGCACAAAATTACAATTCAATTGCAAATTAATCCAAACGGAAATCTTTTAGCTGACATGTAGCAGACAGAGCATTACAATACATCATTATGGAAGATACATTAGAGCATGGCGCCATTCGGACCCCTCGATAGTTAGACATGGGAGGAAGGAGAAGGCGCTGGCTGGGGAAAGAGTACAAGGTTTGATAGATAGGCTAGGCAAGGCACGAACCGAGAACCGGGCAGTCCCTCAGGCGGCGTGCATGGCACCGTGCTTGCAGTATGTGCCCGCAGCAACGGAGCCCATGTGGACCGGACGGCCGTGGGCGCACAGGGCCCAGCTCTTGCCGTCCTCGTCGCAGATGATGGTGTTGTCGACGCAAGCGCCGCCGTGGGTGGTACTGTGGGCGGCCCCGTGAGCGGCACCGTGCACGTTTTCGTGGGAGGAGCTACCGCTACTGCTACCGCTACCAGGGGCAGTGCGGTCAGACTGGACCTCTGCGGGGGCAGGGGCGGCAGGGGCGGTGGGGAGGAGCACGGTGTGCTCGGTGTTGGAACCAAAGGCGGAAGCCACCTTAGAGGCTGACGAGTGGGCGGAAGAGGAAGAGGAAGAGGATGGCGATGCATACCCCGCCGACGAGGAAGTCAAGGCGTTGTGGGAGGAGGAAGAGGAAGAGGAAGAAGCCGAGGACGAGGCGGCGGAGTTGGTGCCGTGGGAGCCGCCCAGGAAATCCGCCGAGCCCGTGCAGGTGTAACCGGTGCCGGAGCCGCTACCCTCCACGGACGAGCCGGGCAGGGGGAAGTTGACGTCCTGGCCTTCCGTGGTCGTGCAGCCGCCCGGTCCGTTGATGTTGGCGATGAACATGGGCGGGGCGCTGCTGTAGCTGGCGACGGCCCCGGCGATCTCCTGCTGCGCGACCTCACGCTTCTTGGAGCCGCCAATGGTGACCTGGGCGCAATTCATGTACATCTCGCGGTTGCCGACCTTGTTGAACCACGACCACGCTAGGAGCGCTTGCCCGCCGGGCGCGTCCGAGGGGATCGAGAACTGGTACTTGGAGGTGAGGGGACATCCGCCGATCATCGAGTGGATCACCTTGAAGGACTTGCCCTGGTCGTAAGAGAGAGAGATCTGGCAGGACCCTCCCTCGTGCGTGGCACTGCCCTGCAGTTCCAGGCTGTATGAACCACCGGGGGAGTAGTTGGCTACCGACGAGAACGGGTCATTCGCGTATCCCTTGCACGGGAAGTCGTGGCCGTCACTGGACAGAGGGTTGGTGTACGAGTAGTCCTTGTTGTCACCGCCGTTGGGGTTGAGGGGACTGCGGATGGGGTACGGGTTGGACATCTGGATGTGGGCCGACACCGACGAGGCCAGAAGGCCGCAGAGAAGGGCAACACTCTTCATCTTGAGGTATATGGGAACGCGTGATTGACTTTGTGACACGGTAGGGAGCCGATTGAGCTGCGGTAATGGGACTGATTAGTCGTGGGTTCTCCAGGTCAAGGCCTTCAACGTTGTGGAGGCTCGGATTATAATACTTACACTGCTTGTATACAGTCAGACAGTTATGCCACAGTTGTGCCAATGTTCACTGAGGTAGACAACGGCTCGTCTGCTCGTGTAGCGTTGTCAAGAGATGCCCTGGGCTGCGCACGAAGGAGAAGGCACAGACGTCTCAACAGCAAGAGATGAAGGAAACCAGTTCCTATAAATAATATGAATAGCAAGTGGCATACCTGACAAGCTTATTCCAGGTCTCCGACTGGGTCCGTGGAGGAATGGTGGATGTCCTGTTGCAACGGAATGCAGGTCCGCGTAGGCTTGACAACAAGAGAGCCATCGGCATTTCGTGCCACCTGCTCGACCGAGTCTGCTGTCCGAAGGGGTGCTTCATCTCAATCTTCTTGCTTAGACTCTCTGTGCCTTATCTGTTGAGATCGTGACATGTTAGTTAGAGGCTTCCAACGAATCTCTAGTGTCGCTATAGCTCGCTCATAGCCATGAGTAAGGCCGGACGCCGGCGTCATTCGTGCGTATAAGTAATATAGAGTTTAACCAGGAAAGTAAGCGTCCAATAACAAATGCCTCGTACCTAAGCCAATTATCTGATCGCCAGGCACAGTGTTGCTGGTAGCCTGAGCCACGGCTTCGAAACACAGACGGTGCATCAATGATTGTCCCAACGGTCGATCACCCTAGCTGCCTTGAGCAGCAAGTATTTAGACAGGCATCCACCCCCCCCCAATCTCGAAACTTATTTTTGTCCCCATCTTGCATCATAGTTCTACCCTGTTGACCATGGTATTGGCTCGTTCATTCGGCCGCAATGTCTCGCATCACGAGAATACTGACCACTGCGTCTTGAATTCCGCTCTTCCATTGTTTTAGACCTAGTCAGGGTCTCAAGGTTTCAAGGGTTTTCCCACTGGATACTTTGGCAAAACGGCCACCCCTGTCCAGCTAGTGAAGAAGGAAGCAAAACCATTCGTGCCCGTCCAACATGCCAAACGTTCCCAGGGCAGACAGGGGGGGGGGGGGCGCTGGGAATCTGGCGGAGCCCCCGGAGGTTTGCCACCCCCTACGCGACGGGCGAGTCAAGGAACAGAAAGCCAGATGATATTCGTACTAAAGCATAGCTTAGACTTGAGATCGGAGACTTTCATAAGGATCTGCAGCCCTTTCCGTTCCGCGCGCACTGGCCCCTGCAGGCACGTCTCAACGCTAGGAGGGCTTGCTGTCCACGGCATTCTCCGCCTGCTGGTGCTTCAGCGCCCGTGACGATTTCAGTTTCATGTTGCGCTATTGCTGTGTAACTGGTGTCGAAAGGGTTTCGGCGGGGTATGTTGCCCTCATCAAACTCGCGTCGATCATAGCGCTGTGGCCGAACGGTGTCTGTGGTGTCCGTAGGGATCAGAAGCATAGGTAAAAGGGCGCAAGGGGCTTCCCTCCGTGAAGAGGGTATCTGAAACAGCTTTTGGGGCCTTTGAGCCGGAGGTAGTGAGCTGAGCAGACCATGCCAATGGCTCGAAAAGCGCAAGATTTGATTCCTCTGCTAACGCACCATATCGCTGTGAGATAGGGAAGTAAGAGTGAATCGACCGGCGAGACGAGACCTGAGCTTTCAGGCAATGCTCTGCTCTGAACTTTCCGCTTCGGATTCGGCTTCAGCGAGGTCCCAGAGGTTCAGAGCTTAAAGGAAGCAGTAGATAGCAAAAAGCAGTTTATTCAAAAGAGAAACCGAAGCTCGGATAGACTATAACCACCAAGTACTGGGTAGTATATCCAGCCCAAAGCTTGACGAAGCGATCCAACGCACCAGCACTAGTCCCAATCCGGTAGATAGATCGCGGCGCCCCGGTTTCTGTTTGCACCCCGAGCAAACAACAGCTTCCGATGATGAATTGGCGTCACAATCAAGCATGCCCCGAAATCATGCAAACTACAACCCAACCGACCTTCCAACCTTGCCGAACAAAACAACCAGCAGATAAATCACCATGTCTGAAGGCGGAGGCTGGAGCACCATTGAATCCGACGAGGTAAAGCAATCATCCTGTCTTCACCCCGAAGCGCCGCAAACCACAGTCCGTACAGAGCAAGCCAATCTAACCGCCGACGCAAATGCAATATAGGGCGTCTTCACCTCACTGATCGAGAACCTCGGGGTCAAAGATGTGCAATTCGAAGAACTCATCTCCCTAGACGCCGACACGATCCGCTCATTAAGGTATCCCCCTCCCAACCATTGAACCCACCAACCAACCCCGCAACCATCTATCTCACTAACCAACCCATGCCTATACAGCCCCGTCTACGGCGTGATCTTCCTCTTCAAATGGATCCGCGAACAACCCCCGACCACAAGCACAACATCCCCGTCAAAACCCCCATCAGGAACCTACGACACCTCCCCGCCAGAAACCCTCTTCTTCGCCAACCAAACCATCCAAAACGCCTGCGGCACGCAAGCCATCCTCTCCGTGATCCTCAACCACGACGACATCGCATCCCCCTCACCTCCATCCTCCAGCATCCCAAAAATCGACATCGGCCCGGAACTCCGCACCTTCAAGGATTTCACCACCGGCTTCCCCCCGGATCTCCTGGGCGAGGCGCTGTCGAACAGCGAACCGATCCGGACGGCGCACAACGCCTTCGCGCGGTCGTCGCCGTTCGTCGACGAGACGCAGCGGCCCCAGCAGGACGAGGAGGGCGGGGACGTCTATCACTTCATCGCGTACACGCCCGTCGCCGGCCGGCTGTATGAGCTGGACGGCCTGCAGCCGCATCCCATCGGCCACGGGGACTGTACCCCCGAGCAATTTCCCGAGAAGGTCATCGAGGTGATTCAGCAGCGTATCGCCCGGTACCCCGAGGGCGAGACGCGGTTTAACCTCATGGCCGTGTGCCGGGATCTGCGCGTCCGGGCCCGCGAGTTCGGCGACGCCGAGGCGCTGGAGACCGAGGAGCGCAAGCGGAGGGCCTGGGCGTGGGAGAATACGCTGCGCAAGTCGAATTTCGTCGGCTTCATCGGGGAGGTCTTGAAGGGGGTGGCGGGCATGAAGGAGCAGGAGGGCAAATTCGACGAGTGGGTCGAGGGGGCGAAGAAGGAGACCCAGAGGAAGTTGCTGCGGAAGTGATCTTCCTCTCTTCTTCTATGTGTATTATAGCTAGCAGAAGGTTGCCTATGGCTCCTCTGGATGATGAACTCAATTCAAATCAGTGATGTGATGTGATGATACTCCTGGCTATGTAGGTATGATGTATGTATGTACATTACAAAGACAAACATATGGCAGAAGAAAATATCGCTTCGTCATTCATGTCCGACCCTTTCTCGTCCTTATCGTGCGTGCTCAGAGGCCTCCTAGTACTTGGTGATCCGTGACTTGATTTGTTCAACCATTGGCGCGGGCAGCTCATCCTCTTGTACGAATCCCATCGACAAGAGGTCAGACCAGAAGAACATGGCGCGGTCTTGTGCATATGCAAGGTAGTCGAATTCGTCAGACTCATCGACAGCCGCGTCTACCGGGGGAATCGAGGTAGGCACATCCGCAGTCGTCTCCACGTGCGCGCCGTTGCCATTCGCGGTATCACCTTGACCGTGGGATGCTATGGCGTCCGCTTTGATACCTTCTTCCATGCCTGGAACCTTCGCTTGTACGATTCCCCACGCCACCCACTGAGCGGACGTGATCACGCGCCAGAGCTTTGTCTGCGTCATCAGGGCTTGAATCTGCGCTTCTATACCGTCCGCGTGAGATCTCTCGATATCCACACTAGCCATCACATCCAAATCTGGGCCGGCATCGAGACTCAGTGGCGCAAGGGAAGTCGAATTGGAAGTACCTGCCCGCATCAGTGGAGTGATGGATGGCGAGGCCTGCTCGCGCAATCCAGGTCGATGGCTGAGGTAAGCACTGATGAACTGACGTTGCTGTGCTGGAGTTGGATAAACTGTATTATTGCACGCCCAAGGTCTTTCCGCGTCGTGATAATTGTAGCACCATTCAGACTGTCAATGTGGGTTAGTGATGAATTGACAGAAGCTCTGGAAAGTACGCACGAAGTGGTTCGCAAATTCAAAACCTGGCGTGTTCGCCGATGCATATTCAAAGTCGATCACAACGAGCTGCTTGTGCTTGTTCTCAGGGCGAAGCAGAGGCGATTCTTGGCTTGGCTCCATTCGTAGCAGATTGCCATATTGTGTCTCCACACTCAGTCAGCATCTATTCCAAAAAAAAAGTGGAAGCAACAGACTTACATCGTTGTGCGCAAAGACAAGTTGCTGTTTCAGGGCATTGCTTCCGCCGCAACTGGAGATGAGCCACTTGCGATAATTGTCGACTGCCTTCCTGAATACCGGCCAGGGAACACCGCAAACAAAGCCTCGCCGACGCCATGGCTCTGAAATTGACTTGCTTGCGCTGTGCGCAGATTGAATCTCCTTGTCCAACCAGTTGATGACCTGCTCGCAGCGATCGACCCATTTGTCCCAGTTCTTGAACACCATCGGCCCTCCTTCCCTCTCTTCTGGGAGCAACTCAACCCCGTCATGAAGTTCTCTCATCCGTTTTGCAATCTGCTTCATAGTGAGAGGATCCCGAAGCTCGCGGGGTGTCAGAGGACGGGCTTCGAAATACTCCTCAAAACGACCGTTCTGGAAGGTACCCAGCACCTTGGGACCGATGTTCTTACGGCCTAGGCGCCGAAGAATCTGCAACTCATTTTCTCGATCAATCAGGTGATCCACCTGCGGGCCATAGATACGCAGCAGAAGCTTCCTGCAGGGAGTTAGATCGTCTCTTGTGAATATCTTCTGACTTGGGGAAGGAGGCACTTACGGAGGAGGCTTCCTCGCAACCAAAGAATAAGAACCATCTTCGGCCTTCGGAACCGGAATGTGCTGTGGCGGATTCACAACATACACCGCATTTGTCAGAGCACCGCTAAGTCGAATGACCTCAATGTCCGCGGCACAATGCATGGATAGCTTTCGCCATCCCTTGAACTGCAAGGTGTGTGCGAGGCGCAGTATCTCAGTCTTGAAAGTCATCCAGGCTTCTCTGTCTTTGGCGCAACGGACACTGGCGCCTTGTTCGCTCTCATCGTCGTCTGCGCCACCTCCGCTGTAGGCCAAGGTCTTGGAATTGTCCAGCACTGCATCCACACTAGGAGCAGCGACGTCGAGGTCCGAAAAGTCCGACTCGGAAGCCGAGCCTCTCCGTAGTCCTCTAGATCGATGGCGTCGAAGCCGCCGCACGGCACCGTTGTCCTGTCGCGAAGGAGCGTACTGAAGCAAGATTTTCTCGAGCTTGTCGAGAGCCATGGAAATCTGTGTGCTGGAAGACGACCTCTCCTCTACTGACATGCCGGTGCTGTTGCTGCCTGCAAATTGGCCAGCACTTGCTGCTTCATCCGGAACGCCAGAACCTAGTGAGTGATGAGAACCGCGCTTAGATCTCTCGGTTTGAAGCCATTCATACACCTGGCTGTAGAGACTATTCTGCGAATCTTCTTCGCTGTACTTCATGCTGGGGTCCTTTTCGTCGCGTATGGCGGATTCCGTCAAATTGCTGGAACTCTGGCTACTAAGAGAGGTCGGGGGATGGATTGGCGGTCGAGCTGTCGCTTTCTTGGGCACCGGAGCCCGGTGGTGCTTAGGAATGTTTGTTTCCGACGAAGTCGCAGAGTCTGAGTGGCCGGTCGTCTGCCGACGTCGTTGGAACGCCACATTTAGGCCAGTTCCCATGATCGGTTGGGGCCCTTGACAATTGGTCAGAATCCAGCAACACTTAAGTGACAGCACAACGAAGACAACGAAGGTCACCAGGGACATTAAGCTTAAGACGGTCGGAAGCATGGTAAAAGTCGCAGTGGGCAATACATAAATCTGGTCCGGAAACAAAGCTTCCAGGAACCTACAGCTACAGGAGAGGCACAAACCGGAGAAAGGACAGGGACTTGTGCTCAGACCTACCATCATAGTCAAGGCCAGACTCAGAGGTCTGGCCGGTAAAAGAGGGCATGTTCAGGATACAAGACCCGGATTGGGAGAAGCGGAAACTGTCTGCGCAGCGATAAGTTCAACCACAGTAGCTAATGGTCAGGTCGCGCGACTGTGTGCTGGAGATGTTGTCAGTTGGGGACGAAGAACTCGGGAGCTTTTTTGGAGGGTGATCCATACTATTAAGTCACATAGACCCGCAAGGGACACTGGAGCTCTGGCGGGCCAACGATGGGGTAAAAAGTGTCACAGAGTCCCGGGGAAGTTCGTTCAGGAAGAATTCCAAGCGGAATTGACACAATGGCGGGAAAACTGTTGAATTTGACCAGAATCGAAAAGAGAAAAAGAGGGTGACCAAGTGGGGGGTGGAGCGATAAAGGTGCCGTTCAGCAGCTAACTCGAAAATACGGTCGGCGGACGGTCTCGATGGGGTTCCACTTAGAACCACAATCACATGTGATCGAGAGAGAAGTGAGAAATGGAAGAGTGGGCGAAAAGGGTACGATTGATGTGCGAGATTAAAATACCTATTATGAGTGCGCAGCTGGTACACCAACGTGGGCAATTCAACAATGATGTCGAAGGAATGGATTTCAAACAAGTGAGTGAGTGGCAAATGACGATGTGTAGCGGCCGTGCAAACAGAAGGTGTGATGAGAGAGGCCCGGGGAAGGGAGGGAAAAGAAGGTCGGAATCTCAGGTGACCTGCCAGTCCCGCCCATCAATTATTATCACACTCGGCGGTGAACTCGTCCCACGAAGTGTTTCTACGAGTACCGATCATCGGATCACTGATCGGACTGATAGGACTGATAGGACTCAAGCAACATCTGCGAGCACACGACAACCGGCAACACATGCTAATCTGTTTGCTTACTTCCCCATTCAGGCGCAGGACTTTTTCATGAGGATCAGACGGGTCGCGATCTCGGCTAAGCAGCTGAGACAGACAACTGTCTGCTTAACCTCATCCCCGGGGCAGTGTTTTGTCAAACAAGCTGACCGCTATGTCAACTGGCGCCATAGATATTTATTGTTGAGGGATTGTCTTACTCAGTATCATGATAGTTTGACTGCCAAGGTTCCGCTGCGATTATCATTTAAAGTGGGATCCGACACTTGCAGTAGGCTCGCATGGGCCTTGACCCTATCTGCCATAGACCAGGAGCCGAGCACGTCAGGCGTGGCTAATTTCCGATGTCGATCTGCGATCGAATTTACAGGGATGCCGTACCCTGTACTTGTACATCGCAACTAAGGATACCGTTTTAAGGATCTCAGTAGATCAATCGAGAGCTGAAGATATTTATTTACTCCGTAGATACGAATACTGTTTACAATATCACGACCTCAGGAGATGTATTTCGCAGTTGATCCATTCGGGAATCGGGATTTGATCGGGTTAACTTGTTGGGGTCAGGTCCCTGGTTCGCCCACTGCACCATTTGCCTTGCCAGTGCAGTGGCCAAGTCCATGTGCTGTGTTTGCTTTATGCACGCTTAGTAACTAGGCATCGATATTTCCAGAACCCGGTGCCTCGCTCAGCCACCGGAAGGCATACGTAGTGGGTCGCTGAGCCGCAATCGCATGTCCAACGATCTCCAGGATTCGTCGGACGACTCAAAAAACACCAAACCACCATTCGCTGTTCCGTCAAATCCGCGAGCAAGTGGATGCACAAACCGACAGCCACGGTGGCTTGGGACGGCAATGCCCATCGGTGAATGGATGCTATTCTTGTCCTTTTAGAAAATGCGATTGGAAGGGGGGTCGGGCAACTGTTGGAACTGGGACGAAACTGGGAGCGGACCCTCCAGGGGACTGACGATCCCCAAATCTCAGTTCCTGGAGGGTTTTGTGTACCCATCATTTGCCGCATCTGCCGATTGTTATAAATGGCTCATCTTTCGTCGTTACCTAGCGCTGATCTTTTGTGATCTACTCTCTTTTCAAACATACAAATACCCCATATTACCCCGGGTCGAATCACAGTTATCACCAGCGTCTCTTATCCTTATCCTTATCCTTATCTCGCCTAACCACTTCCCACTCACCACCTCTACTATACAACTCTCGCCCTCAGCGATAAAGTTACCAACCACATTATCCCTTCAACCAGACCACTAAAAATCGTCACCATGCAACTCCAGACCCTCCTCTTGACCACCGCCCTCTTCAGCGCCTCCGCCCTCGCTGCCCCCCAGCCCCAGGGCGACATCGTCGGCAGCATCGTGTCGGATGCCGAGGGCATCGCGCAGACCGTCGCCTCGGGGGCCGAGAACGCGGCGACCAACATCGTGTCGGCGGCCACCTCGATCGCCAGCGCGGCCGAGACGGGCGGTGCGGCGGCCGCCTCGGACGCGCGATCGTGGGGTGAATCGGTGGCCTCCAACGCCGAGTCCTACGGGCAGTCGGTGGCCTCGGACGCGCGGTCCCGGGCTTCTGATGTCGCCTCCAAGGCCTCCTCCCGCTGGGACGACCTGACCACCCTCACCGGCACCAACGGCGAGGCCACCGCCACTTCGACCGTCTCCGGCGGGAACACCGCGACGGTGACCACGGCGACCGCCACCACCACCGGTACCACCTCTACGACCGGTACCTCGACCGGCAGGAGCTCGAGCTCGAGCAGCAGCAGCAGCAATACCGCCTCGAGCTCCAGCTCCGAGGGCGCAGGTGTCCAGGCTACTCCCGCTGCCGTGCTGGGCTATGGAATCGCCGGTGTGGCGGGTGTCTTGGGTGTGATGGCTGCTTTGTAAGGGGTGGAGTTGGCTTGAACCACTGATTCATTTTCGGTTTATTTTCAAGAGATCACGATGGATCTAAGACACCCTTTCTTTTTTTCGGGTGGACTGTACATGACACTATTCAACATACCATTGTTCATAACTATATCCCTGTTTTTTTTTTTTTTTTTTGCATTTTCCTTTTTCGTTTGCATGTTTCATACATAGCATGCAGTCCATAGAACGATGCTTTCCTTTCTGTTCTTATTCCTCTGAGATTACCGGATAAGCCGTAAGTTAGCGGCTGTATACCTCCCTCGTTCGATTCCACCTAGTACGAGCACCAGAACCCCTGCGCTTGAGATACCTACCTCGTAGCCATCATCGCGTAAACCACCCTCCATGGACCCGTAACCTCCCTCACCCCCCAGCGATCAATCCCATTGCGCATGACATTTATATCGAGCTCTTTCGCTATCTTAACCCCAACACCCAACAATCATGCAACCATTTAAAATCTCCACCCTCATCTCCAAGCGGATAACCTATCCTCCGCCCTGCCACGACACAAGTCACCTACAAACTCACACCACATCCCGTAGGTGCATATTACTCTATATCCACGAGCCAACCCGCGCAGCGCAGCGCAGCGCTCTGCCCGAGTCGCTCCCCCACCAAACCCAGGGCAGCAGAATCGAATCATCCCTCCCCCCCTCCGCGTAGAGCTCTCTCCTCGCGTGGCTAGATGCTAAAGAACGTTACTCGTCAGCGGCGGCGACAGTCGGCGGGCAGGGCCGGGGGAATCGCGCGACTTCCTCTTTTGGTTGATGCCATGTCATGTCATGTGATGGTAGCGGGAGTATAAACCCCCCCCCTGGGATGTGTGTTTTCCTTCCCGGTTCCTCATCGCCGTGGTGGATGGGCTGGTGGGGTGATCGTCGCAGTCGGCGCGTGGGCTGGGGGATTGAGGTGGATTGTGGTGTTGACCGTTGAGGATATTTGTAGTTCTCATTCGCAAACTCCTCTAGCATGCTGCGATGTGTCGTCGACGTGCGTCCTGACGGGGTGCCGTGAGCGATGGCTTTGGCTTCTGCCTGGATTTGTTTGTCGGAGACAGACGGGGGCCGTTGTCGTTGGCAGCGTACGTACTGTAGTATCTTCCGGCAGGCTCGACAACGAGTGTGCAATGCGAAGCCAGCCTGTGAATCCAAAGCCGTTGGGGTGTTTGGATGATGTGTCGCTAGGACTCCCCAGCTTTTACTTTTCCCGTACATCATACGCTATGTCAATTCATCGGAGATTGTATTATACGTACAATACGTAGGTAGGTACTCACACCAGCTAAGACTATCGAACAGAAATGCAAGAAGAAGATGAGCAACTACAGCAAGCAACATCGGATGATATACATAACCTCGCATATCTTACTGGAACAAACTACCCTTCAGCAGGGAAAAGAAACTACACCTCCGCAGTATGGGAGGCTTCGGGCTGGCCATCGCCCACCCGCGGGATATGCGCCGCGCCGGCTTTCTCGGTCGCGGAACCGCGGCGATTGTAGGGCTGCAGCTCCTCGAACTGGAACTTGGAGCTCTTCCAGGGGGGCACGCGCATCACGTACATCGTATCGATCTCCTCCAGGGTGCGGCCGCGACCCTCGATCACGGTCAAGTACACCAAGCCCGCGGCCAGGAACAGACAGCCGGCGAAGACGTAGCCGAACCGAAAGTCGATCGCGCTCGTAATGAAGGGGGTGAAGAAGGCCAACAAAAAGTTCCAGAGCCAGTTGGACGCGGTGGCCAGCGACATGGCCCGCGCGCGGTACTCGGACGGGTACAGCTCCGCGATGATCGTCCACACCATGGGGCCCCACGTGGACGCGAACCCCAGGATGAACAGACAGGCGAACACGACCATGACCACCCCGGCGGTGTGCGTGCTCTCCGGGTCTTGACGGTCCAGTTCGAAGTGACCCACCGAGGCGAAGATCATGAAGCAGACGAACATCCACAGCGCGCCGGCGATCAACGACCGCCGACGGCCGTAGTTCTCGATCAGATACAGACCCAAGAACGTGGTCCCGAAGTTCACGCCACCGAGGATCATCTGAGTGACATAGCTGTTACTGATTCCGGCGCCTTGGAAGATGGTTGTGCCGTAGTAGAAGAAGTAATTGGCCTAGGGCCTCTGTTAGCGAGTGCTATCGTGCGGTATAGCTGAGCTAAACTTACCCCGGTCAGTTGTTGAAGGGCCTGGAGAGCCACGCCGACCGCAACCCGGTACTTCATGCGCGGCCCCTTGAAAAGCTGGACCCAAGTCACCTTCCCGCGTGCCATTTCCTCTTCGTACTTTTGCTTGATCTCATCGAGTTCTTCCTTTAGTCGGCGGTGGTTATAGGGGATTCCGTACATCTTGGCGATGGTGTCGGTGGCTCGCTCAACCTTGCCGTGTCGATAGTCGTATCGGACGGTCTCGGGGAACATCGAAATCCCAACCCCCAGAATGATCGCCCACAGGTAGGTGATGCCCATGGGAATGCGCCAGGAGGCGGTGCTGTCCATGTCCTCGGTCCCGAAGTTGATGCAGTTGGCGACGAAGATGCCCAGAGTGATGAAAAGTTGGTAGGTGCTATTGCGGTGTCAGAGCTCTGGACTCTAGCTATCTATATATATCTATAAAAGTGACAGGGAGCAATCATACCTGACCAGTGAGCCACGAATGTGTCTTGGTCCCGTTTCGGCTTGATACATCGGCACGAGCAATGACAAAGCCCCGACTCCGAGGCCGGCCACCCACCGACCCATGGCCACTTGGTACCACTTCCCGGACGGAGAGGATATCTGAACCGTGATGCCCACACATACCATGGCCGACCATCCGCTGATGGACCATTTACGACCAATGCGATCCGCAATGGGAGCTGCAACGAGAGCGCCGATCAGGGTGCCAACGGACAGCTGAAAGGATGCGTCAGCCTCGCGAACAAGACTTGTGGGCAGAGGAACAGGGCTCTTACCAAGGCCACGATGAGGCCCGAGCGGGCATTGGTAAAGTAATACGTGCCATCGGAACGCTGTTGGCCATATCGCTGGAGGAAGTTCGGCATCTCCAAGAACCCGGAAATCTGACCCGTGTCGTACCCGAAGAGGAACCCTCCCATCGACACGAAGACTCCCATGAGAAACGAGCGCCATGTGAGGAGCGGGATAGGCGTGTCCACGAGTTCTTCCTCTTTTGCTTCTTGAATCGGCGCCGTGGAGAGTGTTCGATCCGCCGAGGCCTCATTGTCACCCGCAGAGTAAGTGTCGGGTCTACCTCCCGGTCGCCTCAGCTTGGAGAAGACCATTGTTCGCTAGCTTTTGTGATGTCCAAAATCTGCTCGGAGTCCACTTATACAGAGATTTACGAGATCACTCACCGAGCCGTAACCGGTCTACAGACGCCGTTATATAGATCTTTAGTATACGAAACCCCCGAGACATGGGGAGATGGATGATGAATCATGATGTCACGAACTCGCATCCCCCGTTCGTTTGAATATTCTAGATGGAGGTGTCAGCGACAGAATTTCCACGGGGGAGCCTTTCGTCTCGAATACTTAATCGAGAGAGACCAGGGTCTTTCCCCGGAGGGAGCCCAGGTCAGCTGCTCACGTGGAGGGTTGGGAAGTCAGGGTTTCCATGGCTCGGCACTGGTTGATGGCGATGCTGAGTGGCGCCCGGCCGCCGGATGCAACAGCCACGCCGTGGAACCCGCACCAACCCCGGACGGCGACGAAGTCTAGGCGTTCATCATGTCGCCTGGCCACGATTCTGGGGAAAAGTCTATCATTATGTCATTTATGTCATTTACTCAGAGGGGCAGTCCCCACGACCAATATGACAGGTTGTTTTGCGCCCCATGCATCAGGTGGCTTGATCGATACCACCCGGTCGTCCATGGATCGAGAGATCGCTTTCTGGCACACCTGCACACCTACCCGACTGAGCAGGTGTGCGCTCGGCCGCGGCCGAGCAAGCGGAGGCCTGAATCATGAACTCTGTGATGCTCGGCGATTCCGAGAGGGCCGTTTCGAGGCATATCGCCGTGATGTGTGGCAAGGGTGGTGGTGGGCAGACAAAGAGCCGCTGCATAGGCAAGGAGAAGGTCGGGGGATTAGGGCTGTACTAGGTATCTGTGTGACATAGCTGTTTGAGGTTCTGGGCTGGGGTGGTCATACCACAGGAGAATAGTCGGCCTCGTTGGGTGGACTGTGACTCGATGCCTACCGACCCAGTACTAGGTAGAGACTTGCTCTTGCTGCAACCGGAAGCTTCATGCGCGGCCCTTGACATTGACCACCTAGTCTGTGTCAAACAATTTTGTTGCTGCATAAGCCTCGCATGTCAGGTGCATAGTCGAACTATGTAATATTGCTTCCCAACTACAGCCCATTCACTGCTGATCGATACGTAGAGCATCAGGCACACCTCACTGACACTGACAACACAGTCAAACAACAGCAACAAAATACAAACAGTCCTTAATCAAGTATCAGTGTCTCACACAATGCAACTCTGTTTGAAAACCATCAGTCTCCAAATAAGATAACGTGCACAAGCGACGCAAGTAACACATCACAGCGCTGCCTCCCATTATCAAATCCGGTAGTCCTTCGATCCCAAAAACATCCAACAAAGGAAACAAGATCACTCTCCGAGCAATGCAAGCCATCGACCATCCATCATAGTCACCCAAATCCCCGCCTCGGAACCACATCCTCCCTTCCACTCATGCAGCCCTAATCGAACACACCGGCATACTTCCACTGTCCTGCAATCATTTAATTGAATATGCTTTCCCTCCCCGACTCAACAACCCTCTTCCCCAGCCTCCCATCTAATTCCGACCCTGCCCTTGTTGCTGCCTTTGTTGTTGCCCCTGTTGTTGCTGCTGTTGCTGCGCTTCCTCGACTTTCTTCGAGATCCCGGTGGTAGGCGTATCGTTCCTGGCCAGCATCATTGCTCCGCTCGCCTTCAGAGGTGCATCTTCGTTAGTAGGTCGAACCCCGTCACCATTTTAACTCATCAAACTCAGAAGAAACCCAAGCAACGTACCTGCTTCTCGCTCAGCGCCAGCGCATCTGTGTCTGGAACCGGGGCTGCCATTGCCGTTGCCACCATGGCACTGAAGACAGAAACGAGATACACGAGCTTCATGTTGAATTATACGGCGGTTTTTCTTTTTTTTCTTTTTTTTTCTTCGCGGAAAGACGGAAGTAGACTTGGAGATCTGGTCACGAATCGTAACGGAATGCCCTGTTGTCGAATGTGGCAGGAAGCAAAGATCGGGTGCGTGGTTCTGAGGCTGCTTGGATTTGAGAGCGAAGGAGTAATTGTACAGTACATTCAGGATATCCCTGGCTCCGGCTGCCGTTAGAGTTGGTATAAATACTTTGTTGAAGCCCACGGATAAAAAGTAACCTCGAACTACTTGCTAGTCCAGCACCTACCTAATAGTAACGTGGATCCCCTGGATCAGCTAACTACTCCGAGCTAAGGCGCCTAAACAGAAAGTAAACCTGTCACCCCAAAAATAAAATTCCCGCGGCGCATGAACAAAGCTATTGACAATTATTTGATATGTCTTCTCGTTAGTTCTTTCTTTAAGCATTTCGCTTAGAGTATGGTTAGTTCCTGGGGTTCCGCTCCCGACTACGGTCGTACTTTGTACACTGCAGTCATCACGAAGGATGATTTCATTTCGGGGTTCGTCCGTGCTTTGACGAATAACACTCAACTTAAGGCAATGGGGAAAGCGACAACGTACGCAGGTTCTCAGGCGCGGAACATTATTTGCAATTGCGGATGAGATGGATCACAATTCCCTTCACACTTACCCAAGTTTGGAGGTGGGCTCAAGGGTTGAGATTCAAGAAAGGCTTTTGATGGAGGTACGCATAGGCGAGGTCCCATTGTTGGGGAAGGGGAGGGAGGAGGAGGAGGAGAAGGAGGAGCGTAACATGATGTGATGCGTCATATCATTTCACCTCGTTTCATGCATCATTCCCCAAAAAAAGAGACGGCCGGCAGGGCCACTTGAGGCGTCATTCCCAGATCGAATGATGGGTCTGACGCATATCCACTTGGACTTTAGTGCTGTAGGTATTGTACTGTACCTCTGAGGATCTCCTCAAGCCTCCCTTCATATCTCTGGGGTTTTTATAACGGGGACAAGAAGTAGCAGTCAAGCCATATTCTCTGCAGTAGAGTTGAGTCAACGATGACGCGGCACCACCGCACCGAAGGTAGCAAAGCAGCGAAATGAGGTCCTGTTTGTTTGACTGAGGCCTGATTTCCAACCTGATGGCAGGTCTGGAAACCATCCTTTTGTCGAAATGTTCCAGACCAACGGAAGTAGACTTCCGAACACCACCACCACCCATACTACCCCTGACAAGAACACCGTCCCCAACCAGCTGTCAATCACCACAAAGCCGGGGCCGATCCCAACTCCACCTTCCGGCCGAAGTCTTACTAGGTATGCAGTGCTCCATCGGTACCCACCGTGGTGACAGGTACGGGGTGACTCTCTCCCAACCAAGCGAGTCCGGTCCGTCCCGGGACGAACACTTGCCGCTTCGATACTAGCTACAAGCCTGATCGGCCTCACTGAGGGGGGTACGATGTGTGCAATTGCACCGACCATGTCCGACGGAGTGTTCTTTGGGACCCAATTCATTGGTATCGGGGGCGCATAGTGGTTGCCTGCTCGAGGCTGTTCTGGGTCCGTGACCGGACTCATTCTCCTGCTATAGCTGATGGGTACCAGGTAGTTACCAGTACCTACTGGACACTCCCTTTTGGTTCCCATACAAGTGGTTTGGTGCTATTAACCGACTACGATCATCGGGTCTCGCAGCAACATCGGTTTCCCGGCCAGATCTGCTGTCATCCTCCAGCCCCTTCGCAGTGGATGTCCAGATACAAAGGTACATGCAATTGAAACAAGACTGGATCGGGCATCGAACGCCATGGCGCAGAAGTACCAGAACCAGGAACGGGACGAGTGGATCAGGCTGCGCTGTCAAGTGCGCATTGACTTTCTCCGCTGGGCGTCTAAGAATAATGTACTGTACTGGGTCGATCATTTTGGATCACGCCCCCTATCTGTCCGAGTTGATGGCCGGTTGGAACAGAAACCAAGGAGTGATATGTTACTGTTTGTTCCCACAACCATTTCCCCGCGGCTCACACAAAAGGCAACACCAGATACGAATCATACCCCCCTCCCCCGTAGACCACATGGGTCCCTTGATTCTCGTCGTCCGGCTCCGTCGGCCGCATGAAGTCCACCTCCGGGAGACACATATCGTGGCCCGACACACGGAGCATGATGCCCTCGCCGGGCCCAAAGACCATGCCCATCGGCCAGAGACCGATGTCCAACGGCACAATGGTCCCGGGGGCAATCGGCTCCCGTCGATCATGCCGGTACACGATCTCGCCCGCAGTCGACCGGGCTTCATCGCGAGTGACCGCGTGCGATGCGCGCAGAAAGCCCGACGGGCCCAGGGTTTTGACGGTGTTCACGTTCGGGACTTCGGCCGCCGGCACCGGGCACGGGTAGTTGAGGTGCTCGAGGAGCTTGCCGTCGCGGTTGATCTTGCGGATCTGCACGGCGACGTCCAGGTCGTCGTGGTCTGGGCAGGACATCCAGAGGCGGACCTGGGGGTATCCGGCTATTTCGGTGTACTGGTCGAAATACAGTACGAAATCCTGGACGGCACAAGCGGTTAGTGCGTGGTTGTGAGCTTCGAGGATGAAGCACAGTACTCACCGAGCTGACTTTCAGGTCGTGTCCGGCATGTGCGACGGATGATCCAGCAACCGGCTGCTCAGGCTGCAGCGTCATGGTCTCCGGCCGGAGATAGAACCTCTTCAGTTCCTGCCGCGCTAAGGGATACTCCCGTTCAGGCCGTTCGCGAATCGTCTGCACGACACTATCTTCGAACCCGAGCAGCGAGAGTCTGACCGGCGGGGTACTTTCCTCCCAGCCATTCTCAACGCCCTTGAGATACCGATCAAAGTACCGTGCCAGGTCCTCGACCATCTCCGGACGATAGAGGTCGTACCACTCCTGATACGGATGCACACGGAGCCATTTGCGGGTACTCTGAGCGGCGCGGAACGTCTCGAAGGAGCCCCGGGTATGCAGCATAGACGAATACGAGGCCAGGACATACAGCGGCACGTCCCCGATACGCTCCGGACGGATCCGCTTGCTCTCCCAGTAATCATCGTAGAAGGGCCGCTTGCGGCCCATGGCGGGCATGTTCTCGGCGGCGCCGCGGCCGGCGAAGCCCGAGAGGATCATGGCGTGGAACCGCTCGTTGTGCGGTCTTCCGCCCCGGAGGACCAAATCCCCGTAGAGATCGGTGAGGCCCTCCCACGGCGCGAGCGCCTTCAGGGCCGGGTGCGACAGCCGCGCGGCGAAGTTGACCTGCGCGATCGACAGCCAGGAGTTGCCGGCCATGCCGACCGAGCCGGTGCACCACGGCTGCCGCGCCAGCCAGTCGATCGCATCCCAGATGTCCTCGGCCTCCTGCTGCCCCCAGAACGCGATGTTGCCCTCCGAGTCGCCGCACCCGCGCGCGTCCACGTTGACGACCGCGTAGCCCCGCGGGCACCATTCCGCCGGGTCGGGCCCCTCGAACTTCTCGTAGCCCGAGGTACGGCCCTTCTGGAGGCCGGCGCGGAACGGCGCCATGCTGTCGTAGCTCTGCGGCCCCGTGCCGGTCTTGCCGTAGGGGCTCCAGGGCATGATCGCGGGGACGGGGACGGCGTCCGAGTCGACCGGCCGGAAGATGTCCGCGTAGATTTTGATGCCGTCACGCAGGGTGATTGCCACGTCTCGGTCGTAGATCACGTCGGTGGGAAAGGATCGGTGCCCCGGGGATCGCACATGACCTTTGGCAAGGACGGTCTTGCTCGGTTGGAAGCCGTAGTAGGTGAAGGCTGCGTGGTCGGTTGGAGGCGTGAGTTTGTGCCATTCGAGATCGGGGAAGGCGGCGCGAATTGACTTTTCGGTGGTAGTCATAGTGGAGAGTGATAGTATTTATGGGAGGGATAGACTGTGCTGGATTCTTTCGAGGCATAGCTGCTTGCTATTTATGAGCATGAGAACTTCTGGTCAATCGATATCTCCACTCCCCCACATGCCGGTGCCTGGAGGAGTTGATGCGGGGAAACACCCGTTGGTACTTGCGGATGGTCTGAAGCACGACCTCGGGAAGTGGGAAGTGGGAGTGGGAAGTGGGAAGTGGGAAGTGGGAGAGGTGGGTTGTAGAGAGGTGGGGGAGTGGGGAGTAGATATGGGAGAATCAACAGAAGGTGATTCACTAGGGGTGAACTGGGGTGAACGGGAAAGAAAACAAAGGAATGCAGAAACTTGGAATTGTCTCAAGTGATAACATAGCCTGAGGCACAAGGCTGGTGCTCAATCGCATCAAGTCCTTACTATGACAGGCAGAGCAGGCGTACAGCTACTTGTTTTGTTTTACAAAACAAAGCAATAACAACTCTTGAGAAGACTTCAACGAACAATAAACATTAGTAATATTGTACTGACTTTGCAGCACTATACACCAGAAAACCAGACCTCTATATACAGCGGGCTTCAAGTTAACAGAACTTGTAAAAGATAATGACAGACGACAAGAAAAAACGCCCGACACCCAGGAACCAATGTATGCACCATGGATAATCAAACACAGTGGTCTCACAAGATTAGTACAACATGTTGTTCAAGATTCACAGAGAAAGGAAAAGTCTAATGCTTGGGCATGACCGCAAGCTCATACTCCACTGGCACATCTGGCCACGCGTCAATTCCGTCCATGATGGCCATTGCCAGTCCACCGCTGTGGTGCATCTGGATGTGGCAGTGCATGAAGAAAGGACCGGGGTTGTTGACGTGGTATCGGAGCGCCATCCAGCTGGGAGCACCCAGAGATGGTGGGGTCTGGAAGGTGTCACGCATCTGAGGAGTTTGCAGGTTGAAGCTGCTGGGGATCTTCTTCATTGCCTCTTCGACGGAGGAGTAAGTCCAGGCCGAATTGCCCTGTCCGATCACATAGAACTTGTTCGAGTGCTTGTGGATCGGATGTTGGGGCTGACCGGCAGTGGTGACATTGATGATGAGATCCACCCAGGTATCGTTCAAGGTGCTGATCATGTTCTTGGTGGGGATCGAGGAGGAGTCGAACAGTGCTGGGAATCCAACCTCCTCGAGATCCATCGGATAAGATTCATTTCCGAGCCTCCAGCCATACGAGGTCGACAATTGAGCAATGTCGAGAACAAAGGTCTTATTGGCATAAGCTGCAGGCGGCTCGCGGGGAAAGGGGACGAGAGTGTTGTCATCGAGGATGCTTTTACTGCGATCTAGAACCGTACCAAGCTCATTGATGTATTGCCCCGATGAGGTAGTCGAACCAGGCCTGCTGTTGGTGGTCGGCACGGTTCTCTGAGGACTGGTAGCACTGGGGCCGCTGGACCCTTGGTTGGTGTAGGTCAAAGTTGCTGTGCCATTGATGATCTGGTTGGCATACTTGTTGGCCGCACGAACTGTGTATGATCCAGCGGGCTGGTCCAATTTCAACATCACCGAATATCTCGACCCAGCGGGGATGTTGATCGCGTAGGTGGTGGATGGTTCCACATAGCGTCCATCGACCGCATAGACAATCATCGGATGGTTGTCAATGGAGAACACTAGCGAGGAACTGCCGGCCATACTCAACACATCATAACTGACATATTTCTTAGAAGCATCGACGTTGAACACCTGGTTCGGACCCTGGGCCGGCACACAGCCCTCATAGTAGCCCTTAGGAATTTTGGTGAGATCGAAGTCGTATCGTGCATACCGTGACGCAGTCGGTGGCATACATCTGGTTGCATATATGTTTAGCATGAAGATCAGGGAGAGATAATCAGATCAGAACTCACCCCATATCACTCATTTTCGCATCGCCCAAAGCCTGGCTCTCGCCCGCTCGGGTAAGAGAGTCAATATGATCCTGACCCGGACAAATGACAGAGCCCTTCCCATTGACTAAAATGGAACTGGCACAGTAGCTTGAGAAGCCAGAGTCTTCTTGGATTTGAAGGATGTCTTCAGACGTGAACAAACGCCAGTCAGATATAATGACCGGCTGCGTCTTCTTCTCAGCGTCTAACAGTGCCTGCAGCTCTGTCTGATCACTGGTCAACAAGCTGAACGGTCTTTCCACCGAGTCGGCAGGTTCCACATAGATAGCGCCATAGAGACCATCATCAAGCTGGGCTCTCATATGTGAGTGGTATATATATGTTCCATATGCATCTGCCTTCCACTTGTATAGGAAGGCATCGCCTGGTTCGATGGGAGCTTGTGAGATTCCAGGAACGCCATCGGACCATGGGGTACCCTGTTGCACGATGCCTATCATCCCAATGTTAGTACACACTGGGGCAGATATGGAGAAAAGCGATGAATCATGCAGGTATAGGGAGACTAACCGTGGAAGTGAATGGCAGTTTCAAATGGCATGGAGTTGTTGACGAGGAACTCAACATCATCACCTTGCTTGACTCGCAACGTCGGACCAGGAATTTGTCCGTTGGTCCAGATGGCTTTGCGCGAGTTCCCAGCTATCTTACCGTCCTCCCATGTGAGGTCGACATTGAACTTCACCGTCTTGCAGGAGGCCAGTTCGACGAGGCCGGTGAGGGCTGCCAGAGCCAGCCCGGAGTAAGTGAGCTTCATGACTGATGAAGGGCAGAAGCTATCCAATTGACCTTAACAGGAAGGGAGATGTCCAAGTCGGGGAGCTGGGTCGATGGTGAAATTCGGCCCGTGAGCTGGGGCCGGGTTGTCGTGTTGTCGTATGGGTTTGTCGTTGCACTTTTTCTCAATTCCATTTGGACTCTGGCACGGTGTACTTATATTATCAGAGCTCAGGTCTAAAAATGTGCTCGGTTACGTCGTGGTAGCTGAACCCGAGCATCGGAATGTAGACCAGCTCCAAAAATATCCGGCTCGTCCCTCCATGGCACTGGATTAAGTCCGAGATCTCGGCGAACGGATTCTCGATTGTATTGATGGTAAGCCTACTGCTTTTGGACTTGCCACATCTCTTTGTTTGAGATCTACTCCGGACGACCGAGTTCAGATGTCATGATGCATAAGCCATCTTCACACGCTCTATATTCACTTGCCTTCGCGATGATACTGACTGCTCCCGGTGCTGCAGCTGCTCTCTGTCGCCGAGAAAAGTAATCTCCCGGTGTCGACCTCCTGGATTGCCCAAGCCGGAAAAGATCGACCTCGATATGCTGTACCCAAGCTGTTGTTTAGCTGTCGGATGCAGGAAATCCATGTGTTGGGGCCCTGTCTTGGCAGGGATCGACAGGGCCGCAGACCCACGCATGCGGAATGAAGAAGAAAACAAACATCCTAAAGGATCCAAAGATGCTGTCATCGTCCGGTAGCGAGGGGGAGATGCTCGGTCAACTCCATAGCGCCAAGTTTAAGGTTGCATGGAGGTAGTATAGTTGGGCCTTGGACTCCATCTAGTTCCTTGCTTGCTCGCCCATTTCCATGGACCTCAGCAACGGCCCGTCGTCGCATCCGCACCAGGGCCCTTGAAGCCATTGGAACCATTGGAACCATTGTCAATCTCGAGATTGGCGCACAAGTCATAAAACGAGTTCTCTCAGTAGGAATTATACGATCTACCGAATGGACAGATAATTGATAGTAGGGAGCAGCAAGATGTGCGAATCGCCGTGAGCGCAACCGGCAATCGCCATCCACTTCAAGGTTGGTAGCCGGGACCGGGTCAGCTTTCAGGGCGGTAGACTCGATTGGGAAATGTTCACATTCCTGACTTGATTACCTGGTCTACCACGGTCCACGGTATAGTTACCGCTTGCTGTCATTGTTTGTTTATAGTCCAGCATTCGATCGCAAAGAATCATTGCGGAGCAACCATGTGTCTTTCTCGAATGTCGAAGAAAACTGAGTTTGCTGTTGGTCGGCAATCTCAATCGGGAAGTATGTTTGACAGACTGGACCGATGTATACAAGGTTGGGTAAGCTGCCTGTATATTCAGGCAGTACATGCAAGTACCCGTGACATGGCAGGTAATTACCCAATTCAGGTAGTCAATGATGGATGGCCATTGATTGAGTCCAATATCGACTCTCTTTGCTCCATGACTCACCCCAGCGGGGTTGGCTTTGATGAGCGTCATCATGATAAGGTCGGGATTGGCTGATAATGGTATCATGCAGGCGACTAGTGCTGCATCAGCGGGATAATCCTCTATCTCCATCAACAGAGCCTGATTAACAGAGCCTTAAGATGGCGACACTATCCAGAGACTGCTGCCATGCCATGTCTTTCTTGATCGGAGACCACAGAACTGCCCGATGAGTATCATGTCTCTGAGTGAACGAACCAGATTACTTGCAAGCTCTGGAGATGAAAGCGAACCAACAGGTCCCAACTCAACGGAGAGTCCCAAGGACAATACTGGTAGCACCAACAATAGTACCAGACTAGCGATCTTCATCGCATATCTCGGTATGCCTCTGTTCTTACTGGGCTGTTTCACAATGGCTAACTACACCAGGGGCATTTCTTGCCAGCTCTGACGAATCAGTCGTCATCGCGACCTACCATGTCATTGCTTCCGAGTTCCATGAGCTCGCCAAAGGCCCATGGCTGGTCACAGGCTACAATCTGGGCTACTGTATCGCACTGCCGATCGTACGTGCCTGCTCTCCATGGATAACGGATGTAACCCATTGACCACAGAATCTGCGTTCGTACAGTATGGCACATTGGCAGATACATGGGGGCGGAAGCTGTCCATGCTAATAGGATACACAATCTTTGGCCTAGGGTGTCTCATCAGGTATGTTGTCTCTGTAGAACGTCTTCTCTGGTTCTCGATCACTTGTCTTACTGGCAGAACAGCTCGATCAACTCAACAATGATCGGATTGATAGCAGGGAGAATCGTCAGTGGTGCCGGCGTTGCTGGCATGGCCATCACAATCTCAATAATCATCACCGGTGAGTTGTCATCCCCCTTCACTATGGTCCGACTCAACTCACCGTAGAGTTAGACCTGGCTGCTCCCCGCGATGTTGCCCTTTTGCGGAGTTATACCAACGTTGTGGCCATGATCGGACGCGGAGTAGGGGCCCCGATAGGTAGCATCGTGGTCAACTCACTTGGCTGGAGATGGTAAGGTGACTCCTTCCAAAAGAAGGCAGTGACGATAGGAACTGACAAGCACAGGGCGTTTGCTGGTCGGTTGCCACTCATTGTGCTCTGTTTGATTCTGTCCCGATTATACTTCCCAAACCAACACAAAGAGACCGCTGAGCCCCAAAGCTCCCATGGGGGAAGTATCAAGCAACTCGACTACCTGGGCATTGCTACCTTTGCTACTGCCATAATGGCTCTATTGTTGGCCATGACAGTGGCAGGCCAGGACGGCGGCAAAATGTCCCACATCTATTTGTGAACGGTGATTTTCGCCCTCGCAGCAACCCTGTTCGTCTTCAACGAGATCCTATGGGCAAGGAGACCACTGGTGCCTCTGAGGCTGGCCACTAAAGGCATTGGACAGTATTGGCTGGTGGAGCTAGGGCTCTTCTGCGGGCGAACGGGGGTGAGTGGGCGCACATGATACGGATTTGCATCTGACCGGATACTGACTTCACACAGCTTGTTGCTACTATAACTCAATACCTCACCCAAGTGAAGCGGGTTCCAGAGGCCACGGCTTCAATGTTTCTCGTTTTCTGCACGATGGGACTTGCAGTCGGTTCCATGGCTTCCGGTTTCGCAATCCAGCGGTAAACATGTCGCTTTGTCTCTTGTGTTATCCCAAGCATATCTGACCCGGCCAGAACAAAGCGGTACAAAAAGCGAAGTATCTACGCTGCGGTAATCAGCGTAATATCATCGATTCTCCTTTTCTTCTCGTGGCACTTCGATCATCCCGTGGCGGAGTCCTTGCTAGTGATTCCTATGAGTACGCCGATCGGCATCATTATTTCCGGCGAATTTATCGGCATGTCCAATCGTGCACCGCCAGAGATCCTCGCATCATCGATCGGAGCATACTACCTCAGTCAGCAGTTAGGTTCGATCATGGGCGCAGCTATGGGACCCCTGATCGTGAGGGCCGGGTTCAAGTACGACATTGCCGGGCGGCTGAACGAGCAAGTCGAAACTGAGGTACATAGCGCGTACTCCAGCTTTTATGTCGACTCATTATTTGGGCAGTGGATACTAATTCGATCAGATCATCCGCAATGTGCTTCGCGACGCCAAGTACGTCAATACCCTGCCGGAAGATATCCAGCGAGTCGTCCGTTCCTCCTTGGGCTATGGATATCAATTCGTGCCAGGTAAGCAGCTAGCCCTCATTGGGCACGGGACTTAATACTGACCTGGCAGTACTTGCAACGGTCACGGTTGCTCTCTGTGTGCCCAGCCTGGTGTTGACGCGCGAACAATCGGTGGAGTAAATGGCCGCTAACTACAGATGGAGCTTGGTAGGACGTTGTCAGCTAGGTCTTGTCGGGCTGTGCGTGAGGTGAGAGTTCGGTATAAACGCTCTCTTCAACAGTCTTAGGCGCTCGGTGCTGTCAGATACAAGGTCTGTGTGGGAGGAATGAAAGTCCGGGGATCGGCAGTTCAATGGATTGGGCCGCCTCGGCTCCGCTTCTTATAGCATGGAACAGAACGTGGGATGAGGTTCGATTGCAGTCATTCAACCCACTTAAAGACTTAAATGTCAGCGAAACATAAAACTCGCTTATCAGTCCTTGCCCCGAAGAATCATCTATTTACAAGCCCAGGTCGGGTATTGCAGTCCGTGCAGCGAACACTCCTAAGTTACCTTGTCCCACCTCAAATGGCACAGTAGTAAGCCGGGAGATGGCCCGCGCGGCCCGCGCGGCGGCGAGCGGGCGGGCGGGGAGGGGGGGGGGG